ATGTCTTTTGACTGTGTGTGGCCACCTTTTATTGACTGCACTCACCATACCAGCTTAGTGGTTCGCTATGGTGAACACAAATGTAGATACTTATATATAACGTGCGTATAGAGGGTATAAACATCAAGAGAAGGTTTGGAGCCGCCATTTTGGTGAGGGCGGAGGTGTCGTCTGCACGACGCCACCGTGCAAACGACGGTGTTGTTTACTGGTTACCACGATGGTCTTTGGGCACCATACCAGTTTATTTGTACAAGTATGATGAATAAAACAGGTAGATATTTATATATAATGTGTGTACATAGCGTAATAACACCACACAGTATTGTTGGAGGAGAAATATTAGTGCGTCTGACCTTGAGGGCGGCCGCCGATTAGCTGTGTGAGTAGCCACATCTCTGTGCCTTTACTCACCATACAAGCTTAGATGTACAGTTATGGCGAACAAAACATGTAGATACTTATATATAACATCTGTATATAGTGAATTATAGCAAAAACATTATTGTGGGAGGAGAATGAGGGTGAGTCAGATGACTGGAGGGAGGGCGGGAGTGACTGGCTGGTACACGGCGGTCACTCCTCATTACTTTTTGACTCATAATAGCTACTTAGTGGTTCGTTATAGTGAACAAAACATGCAAATACTTATATATAACCTGTGCTTATAGTGTAATAACCGACAAAGTATTTGTTCACCGATTGATGAACATAATTGAATTAACAATATGCACACCATATTTTTGAGTACACCAAAGATTCACTCATTTTATTATATAAATATATCAAACTACACACTATTGAATAATATTACAGCAAAAAAAGTATGAAAAATCAATCAGAGACATTGAAGTAATTCGGTAATTATCTCTTTGTGGCAACTCTGGCCTGACAGCTTGCGAGCAACAGACCGCCTGGGACGCACCCTGAGTCAGCGCCTATAATTTGCCAGACTTCCCCGCCCTATAGCGGGCAATATATGCCACTTACAATTTTTTTATTATTTTTCCCGTGATCAGTGAACACAAGTTAACAGGTTAGAAAGAAAAAATAATTTTTTTTTTTTTCAAAATGACATGCGCCTGTGGGGATGACAGGATATTAAACCCCGAGCATGTTAAGGGTTAATCAAACTAGAAATGCTCTACAAATCAAGGGACCCAGAATGTGGAATGACCTTCCCAACCATGTTAAAGACTGTACCTCTCTCAACCAGTTTAAGATGAAAACGAAGCTATACCAATAAATTCCCTGTAACCTACCTTACCCCTCTATTGTCAACCAATGTCTGTTTTTTTTTTTTTAAATGCCGCTGTTTGTCGACAGAATTGTATTTGTGCTGCTTTTTCAGCCATGTTCCCCCCTATTTTATCTCTTTTTTTATTTGTTCTCAACTCATTTTATTCTTTATGCTCAATTAGTATTAAGCTTTAGTCATTTAAGTTTTTCATGCCCGAAACGCTTTGCATAATAGTGGCTTTAGGCATTGTATGTACTAGCCCTATCTATAAATCCATCACTCTTTGTAAAATTTCTTGTATGTATGTACCTTACCTAAATAAACATTTGATTTTATTCTGATTTGACACCCACAGGCGCATACAAAAAAAAAAAAATTATTTTTTCTTCCTAACCTGTAAGTCGTGTTCCCTGATCATGGAAAAAATAACAAAAAAATTCAATTGCACTTACCGGCGATGTAATTGAGCCGACAACATGGATGATGACGTCACACTTTGCATGTTCGCTCATGCACGGTGCGTCCCGGAGGCGTCGCGCGCGGTCTTCAAGCAGCCAGAGTTGCCATGAATTTATTTTCGCATCATTATTTACAGTGTTCACGCGTGTATTTTTTCCAATATTAGTCACTAATTGTGTTGCACATAATGTTACTACACAGTTATTGTCAATATATGTTGCATACATCAAGTATACATATGTGCACACAAATGTTTTCCATTACGGCATTATATTATGTAGAGTAAACACAATGTTCATTATTTTATATATACACAGTAGCATGCACTATGTACAGATTTTTGCACTATTATTGCACATTTAGAAATCTTGGAGCGAGTGGTAGTCGTTGAAGCAGTCGACAGCACACAATGCAACTCCACACCCTTCACACCATATTTGCACCATTTTACGTTTCTGTTCTCTTCGTTTTGTTGTTTTACATACTATGCAAGCACCTTGGCCTATTGCACGCTTTCCACCTGCTGGCAAATTCTTTAGTCTGTGTTGCTGAAAGGCCTCTATGTGAGCGAGCATGGGTGTTGCAGCATGCTGCAACACTGGGTTCATGATTGGTCTTCGTATGGCAGGGACTTTTTGACCAAACTTTGCTAATATGTGTTGCAAGTGTAACAGCAAATGTACGGAAAATAGGTTTACGTCCAGTTTTCACCAGATACAAATTATAGCAGTTCAACATGCTCATGTCAACAAGATGGAAAAACACTATTTTCGTCCACTTCAATGTTTTCCGCGCACACTCGATAGTGCCACTCATCATGTCAGCCTTATCAATCAAACGCATGTTGAGATTGTAGTCAAGAACACAATCTGGCTTATATACTGGTTCTCTCGTTACACAGTGCACCTTGCCACTGTTCAACATTGTACCCTCATGAACGGTTGTCAGCAGGTTCACTTCTCTCTTGTCTTTCCACCGTACCGCGAGAGTTATTTGATCACATTTCCATACCTGGCACTCACCAACTGCAAGTCCACCGTCAAACACTGGCATTTCCCTTCTTCGTGCCTTTACTGTGCCAACCAATCCGGTTCTATTTTCAATCAAGAACCTAGCTAGCAATGGGCTTGTATAGTAATTATCTGTGTATAAGGATGTGGCCCTTGTTCATCCATGGTGCCATCAGTGACTTCACCACACTACCCGAGAAACCATGTTCGTCATTACCGGGAATGTCTACATCGCTAGCTGAATACAGAATTATGTGTAACACGTATCCTGTTTCACAGTCACATAGTACAAAGAATTTCAAGCCAAATCTGTTTCGTTTGGAGAGAATATATTGTTTGAATGAAACACGTCCTTTGAAAAGTACAAGGGATTCGTTAATCACCAGCTTCTGTGCTGGTACGTAAAAATCTCTGAATTTTCCAATCACTTCATTCATATAGTGCCTCACTCGCCAAAGTCTATCATCCTCTGTCCAGTCCTCATCACTTGCAAAATGCACACACCTGAGGAGTATCTGAAATCTGTCTCGGGACATATATTTCTCGAAGAAAGCTGTTGGAATAGTCAGATCTTTGCTCCAGTAATCTGTGAGAGCGTGTTTGACACAGTGTTTCATCAACATACATATGGCTAGAAACATATACATTTCACCTATATTGGTGTTTTTCCAACGTTGCAATCGTGAAAATTCCGCTATCTCTCTTCTAATGAGATGAGCCGCATGAAGGTTCGTTTGGTGTACAATATATTCCATGAGCGGCTCACCAGAGAATGCTGTAAAATAATCACATTCACTCATATTCTCTCCATTATCCGGGAAAAGCTCTGTAATTCCAACGTCTTTATTGTCAAATGCAGGAATTCGAGGAATAAAACCAGCACCATCACTCCACACTAGTACACCTGGTGTCCTGCGAGACACAGGGAGTGCAACAGGGGCACTACGGCGAGGAAGCGATGCACCCCGTGGACCAGGAGCTGAAGCCCACCTACGCACAGTACAGCCGCTACGTGCACGTGAGGTAGAAGCACGTGAACATGAGGCTCTTGGTGCCTCATGTTGCTCCACGCGGTGGCGCTTGGCTGGGCGAGACGCTGCTGATGCGACAAAATCTCGCCCAGTAACACCACTGGTACTGGCACCAGGCTCTGTAACACTATGTTCTGATTCTACTTCACTAAAACCAGAAAAAGAGTCAACTCGTCATCGAACATATCCTCAGACTCTAAATAAGCACATGAACTGTGTGGTCGAGGGTGAATTGGGGTAGACACTGGGCGAGGTGGCAGGGGCAAGCGTATAGGCCTCGCCATGGAAGGCGGCTGTATCTCATTTTCACTGTCCGTGCTATCTTCATCGGTCAATTGTGTATAGTCTTTATCTATATCAGAGTCATCAAAGTCACTTTCCTCACCATCGGAAAATAATTCACTGGTTATTTGCTCTTGGGCGAGTGATTGCGTAGGGCGTGCCCGGAAAGCATTCAGCCGTGCGCTCGACATGGTGGCTGCTGGGTAATTGAGGCCTCCCACGCGATAGTAGCGTGAGCTGGATTTTTTTTTCAAAATGGTGGCTGTTTACTATAGCCCCTGGGTAGCGTATGGGGACCCCCTTATACCCCGCAGGACTTTCAAATTGTGCGCGGTAGTCCAAAGCATCATATGATGCGATGCGCAATTTACTGCAAGTCGGACAAAGCATCATATGATGTGATGTGCAATTTAAAGGTTAATTAAGAATGGACTGAATATTTAATAGTGGACTGTATTTTGCAAAGTGGTCTGTATTTAATATTTATCCTGCTGGGTGTTATTCTACTCAAGTTTGGGGGTATATGTATGTATCCTATACCATCAATAGTGGATAATAAACTACCAATGTTAGTGCAACTGGTTAGTTAAAGATAAACATCTCTTAGCTAGCGAGTAGAATCAGCCTGATAATAGGCACTGGACATCCTTCTCTCCTGTGTATGAAACCTCGTTGGATAGGGCTCTAATGGTGACCATGAATGTCTTGTGTTACCACAGGTTGACTCGATGTTATTTCTTCCTCCCTCGAACTGCACCTGCCGAGAAACAAATAAGTAGTAATCTGCCACTACTATACACAGCATATATCAGAGAAGGAATCTATGCTATGGAACAAGAGGTTACCCTTTCCAGGTGGTTTACAGATATTATAACCGGACTACAATATACACAAAAATACTTGGCCAACATAAATGTTATACTAGTTAACCGGGTATAATACTTCCCAAGGTAGCAAAATCATGGGTCGAGCGAACTTCTATAGTTCCTCAATCACGAAATTCGCGAGAAGTATGGATGATGTGAGCATGCCTGATTCTTGATGAGAGCTGGTACGTGTGAATATCTCGAATGCCATGCGCACAATGACATCGCCTGGCATCTCCATACCCGACTCTTGCTGTGGATGCAACTATCAGCAAGGTTCCAAATTCATCATTATCGACTAAGGGAGGTAGACCTTGGATTCAATTGGTACTTAATTAAATCCAGTTCTAATGAGTAATTTTTTATCATATTTAATCTTTAGAATGAAGGTTTTATGGTTTCATAAGAGAAATATTGTGCAAAAATGGTGGTTTTGCTTACGTAACAATATAAAATTTTCTCTGAGAAGCATTTATAATTGATTCCTAAACTGATTCTTACATGATTATTAGTGAATTAGTAATATTAGTATGTCCTAACATAACCAATTTGACTTGGTATGTTAGGGGTAAGTAATTTCGTGTTGGAATTTCCGACAGGTACCATATATGAAACGAATAATTTTTTGATATTCCTAGACTCAACCAATGCAGAAAAGCTATACAAATAAAAGATCCCAAATTGTGGAATGACCCTCCAAATATAATTACAAAATTATTATCACATTACTAGGAGGTATCGAGAAAATCAGTAGGAACAGCAATGAGGGTTCAAACCTATGCAGTGGATGTTCCAACGCACACGCTTCTAGCGACTATACCATGACATCATCTAATCTAGACAATTGATTGGGCTCTAGACCAATGAGACCACTGATTCTCAATGATACAGTCACGTTAGTGTGATTACTGTGTTTAGGAGGTTCTGGTAGAAAAGTGTACGGAGACAGCAAAATAGCCTTCCAGGGATTCATACTAGTGATATTCTTCTGGATTATGTAAGGCTGCATAACCATTTATCTTTTAGTCACCACTGAGTGCTCATTAACAGGTAATTTGTAATCAAGTGATTTCTGAAACATGATCAAACCTAATTACTTTCTCATCTATAATTGAATTCACATTGTTGCTTCCAAATTTATGTACCTTAATAAATCAGAATTATGATTTCACAAATTCTGGTAGACATACCAAAACAGAGTTATAGGATAAATAAACAATGTTACAAGAAGCTCATTTATGCCCTAGTTAAAAGAACAATCCAAGTTACTGTGAGTAGGGGGTGATCTTGTGTGTTCAGGCAATTGTCATGCAAGTTCTATAAAATAATTAACATGTCATAAGTAAAATGCACATTTTACACCTTATTTTATCTATATCTACACTTCATTCACATCCATCGAGAAATTAAACAACCAATCAAAACTATATATGCTACCCCTATACCTGGTAATACAGACCTATAAAGATCATACCTGCAAATTAAACAATATCCAAACAAAGGCCTTTAGAGAAAAATTTAAAATGACTAATTTAAATCCAGACATACATTTATGTTAATAAACAGTCAGATCCAGTTATTTGTAAACAGATGAAATTAATACTAGCAGTAATTAAGCCTTGTATGACATTCTCCACATTATAACAACAATTTTGGAGTCAGATTCCAGATAAATGATAAGTATGGATTTATAAAAGGCCAGATTTAGGATAATTTAGGATTTAGATGTAGGATACAGTAGATGAGAATATTACAAATCACATCATCAATTTGTAGATGACACACAGTTTTATGGTAAAGTGGGAAAGACAAAGATATTGAAGCCTTACAAAGAGATCTATCTACATGAACTCCACAAATGGTCAGAAGACTGGCAAATGCTTTTTAACCCTTAAAGGGCATAAATTGTATATAAAAATTTTTAGTAAATGTCGCTGAATGGCGCACATCAAATTTATACAATTGAGGGTGCCACACAAGATTTAAAAGTCCTGTGGCTACACGAGGTTCACATCAGCTTCCTCAGAGCTCTAGTAAACAGGCGGCATTTAAAAAAAAATGGGTAACATTCCCGGGTGTGAGAATCTCAGTACTGAGTGAGCAATCAAGGTTGGTGCACACAGCATGAGCTACCAGCCCTGCTGTTCAGCTTGTGACCACAGAATTGTCTGAAAACGTCAAAATATATATGCAATTGCTATTACTTAGTGATGATAGTGTTACAGAAGAACCCTGACTGTGATAATGACCATGATTCTGATAATAGCAGGATTGTGGTGATAATTATTGATGGTGGGAGGAATAATTCTTGTGAGGGAGGTGGTAGCATCATCTGCTGACTCTGTGTGGCAACCTGTTATTGTCTGGACTCACCATACCAGCTTAGTGGTTTGCTATGGAGAACACAAATGTAGATACTTATATATAATGTGCGTATATAGTGTATTAAGAGAACGAACAATATGCTGGGAGGAGCCATTTTGGTGAGGGAGGGAGTGGCGCATTATCGTCTGCTAGCTGCTATATCACTTGTCATGAAGTTTTTTGTGACCACTATGTTGTTTGGACACCATACCAGCTTAGTTGTACAGTTATTTTTTAACAAAACATGTAGATACTTTTATACAGTATAATTTGTGTAACAGCACAAAAAGTATGTTGGGAGGAAGAATGTTAGAGAGTTGTTGAGCGAGTGAGGGAGGGAGGTAGAGAGATACCTAGTATGTATGTCCAACAGTAATAACGGTAACAGTCCAAGAGTCCAGACTGTTATTGCCTGGGCTCACCATACCAGCTTAATGGTGAATAAAACATGCAGATACTTATATATAATAACAGTAGTAGTAGTAGTGTAATAACAGCAAAAATATTTGTTTGTTTTATTAACATAATAATTGAATCACTAATATTCACACTATACTTTTGAGTATAGCGATGGTTCACACATTTTATTATATAAATACAGTGGTGCCTCGATTAACGAATTTAATCCGTTCCGTCACTGAGCTCATCATGTGAAACGCTCGTCTTGCGAAACAACAACAACACTGTCGTCGGAGGCGTCCGAGAACCAGCGGGAATGCTGGTTCTCGGAATAATACACACATTATATATAAGTATCTACATGTTTTGTTCACCATATCTGTTCAACTAAGCTGGTATAGTGCCCAAAGAGCAAAGTGGCAACCCTTACACAGCATGACAAGTCATGCAGATGATGCCACCTCCCTCACCAAAATGACTTCTCCCACCACTCTTTTTGCTGTTATTACACTATACCGTATATATTCAGGATATATATATATATATATATATATATATATATATATATATATATATATATATATATATATAATTTTTTTTTTATAGGAAGGGAGTACCATCTCTAGCTGGAAGAAGGGGGACCCATAGCCTCAGAGGAAACCACGCATAACGCATTAGAGGGAATGTTTAGATCCCCTCCAATACAGTTTCTGTGTGCTTTTCTCCTACCACCCCCTTCCTTTTTTTTTGTGCTTTGTTATGTATTTGATGGTTACAAGATATACATGGGTTGATACAAAAATAATAATGCAAAAAGGTGCTTACAGGTTATGGATCTCTTGAAAAACACGACAATGGGAAACGTTGATGAATGTCACAGACGGGTTCGATCATTGTTGCAAGTCAAACGCTTCTTCGAATTCCTCTGAAGTTGGACTAGTGCCCAACACAATATAAATATATATATATTATATTTCTTATGTTTCTTTTTACTGTCGATGGTAATTGAAAAATCAATTCTCCAAAATTCATTTTTATTTCTAGTCTGACGCGACGCTTGAACGTATTTTGTAATAACGTATTACATTTTCAAAGACTATAGTTTACACACACACAACTTGTAACCTGAAAACACTTAACAGAGTTTTACTAATTCTAACGCTAAACATCTAGTCTTATATACTCGCATTTGGGTGAGGTGATATGTTGAAACAGTTTTTGGATGAGGTGAACAAACTTTTGACCAACACAAGACAGAACACGGTTCAAGGGGTATAAATTGGATAAATGAAACGGAAGAATGGAGAAAGGGCCTATTGGCCTATACTTCCTCTTGATGCTTCTATATTGGTACGGAGTCTTGAAGTGGGTAGAATATAGTTGTGCATTAATTGGCTGTTGATTGCTGGTGTTGACTTTTTGATGTGTAGTGCCTCGCAGATGTCAAGTCGCCTGCTATCGCTGTATCTATCGATGATTTCTGTGTTGTTTGTTAATACTTCTCTGGTGATGGTCTGGTTATGGGAAGATATTATATGTTCCTTAATGGAGCCCTGTTGCTTATGCATTGTTAATCGCCTGGAAAGAGATGTTGTTGTCTTGCCAATATACTGAGTTCTTTGCGGCTTACAGTCCCCAAGTGGACATTTGAAGGCATAGACGATGTTGGTCTCTCTTAAGGCATTCTGCTTTGTGTCTGGAGAGTTTTTCATGAGTAGGTTGGCCGTTTTCTTGGTTTTATAGTAAATGGTAAATTGTATCTTCTGATTTTTGTCTGTAGGGATAAATCAGAAGATTTATCTTCTGATTTATTCTGATATATAAGAAGATTTATATGAAGAAGATAAAAATCATTAGATACAATTCACCATTTACTATAAAACCAAAAAAATGGCCAACCTACTCATGAAAAACTCTCCAGACACAAAACAGAATGACTTAAAAAGAGACCAACGTCGTCTATGCCTTCAAATGTCCACTTGGGGACTGTAAGCCCCAAAAAACTCAGGATATAGGCAAGACAACAACATCTCTTTCCAGGCGATTAACAATGCATAAGCAACAGGGCTCCATTAAGGAACATATAATCTCTTCCCACAACCAGATCATCACCAGAGAAGTCTTAACAAACAACACAGAAATCATCGATAGATACAGCGATAGCAGGCGGCTTGACATCTGCGAGGCACTACATATCAAAAAGTCAACACCAGCAATCAACAGCCAATTAATGCACAACTATATTCTACCCACTTCAAGACTCCGTACCAATATAGAAGCATCAAGAGGAAGTATAGGCCAATAGGCCCTTTGCAGTTACTTCCATTCTTTCCTTTCACTTATCCAATTTATACCCCTTGAACCGTGTTCTGTCTTGTGTTGGTCAAAAGTTTGTTCACCTCATCCAAAACTGTTTCAACATATCACCTCACCCAAATGTGAGTATATAAGACAAGATGTTTAGTGTTAAAATTAGTAAAACTCTGTTAAGTGTTTTCAGGTTACAAGTTGTGTGTGTGTAAACTAAAGTCTTTGAAAATGTAATACGTTATTATGAAACGCATTCAAGCGTTGTGTCAGACTAGAAATAAAAATGAATTTTGGAGAACTGATTTTTCAATTACCATCGACAGTAAAAAGAAACATAAGAAATATTGTGAAAATTCGTGTTAGAATTATTAATCTTACTTTTTCGGTCATATTTAACAACATATGTTTACAAGAAAGACTGCTACCAATACATATATATATATATATATATATATATATATATATATATATATATATATATATATATATATATATATATATATATATATATATATATATGCGGAAAATCTACAGAGAAATATGAAATGAGGTGAACGTTTCGGCTTGTTAAAGCCTTTGTCAACACCAGACTGACCATTTTGGTCAGTCTGGTGTTGACAAAGGCTTTAACAAGCCGAAACGTTCACCTCATTTCATATTTCTCTGTGGATTTTCCGCATAAAATGATTAGTGTTTTGTGATCGTCAATTGCATATATATATATATATATATATATATATATATATATATATATATATATATATATATATATATATATATATATATATATATAAAGTATCTACATTTGTGTTCACCACAGCAAATCTCTAAGTTGGTATGATGAATGCAGACAGCAACAGGTGGCCACACACTAGAAGACAGAAGAGTAACTGGAGACATGATAACAACCTACAAAATTCTCAGAGGAAT